CACACACACACACACACACACACACACACACACACACACACAGAGAGAGAGAGATACAGGGCAGTGGTATGGATTGAGGGCACAGTGTGGAATCTTGGCTAAGAAATGAGGAATCGCAGCCAGGAAAGTTTCCAAGGTGGCTCAGGAAGTGTGAGTCTGGGCTCCAGTGTGGTCCGAAGGGGCGTAGCAGCTCAGTGGAGACGAGACCAAAAGTGGGAGGGGGTGGTGTGTGTGTGTATGTATGTGTGTGTGTGTGTGTGTGTGTGGTCAAAGTGTGAGGCGAGCTTCACATTTCTTTTACAAGTGGCACAAATAAGGGCAAGTGTGATAGCGCTTTAGATCAAACACAAGAAGATGCACACAAAACGCAGAACAAGCACATGTTTTCTATCTGTAAGGCCATAGCTTACGCTGAAGAGTTAAAATAACACAAAGTCAGGAAGGAGAGAAAAGTGTCCAGCAGCTTTAGAAGCAACAAGACGTTTCCTTCATTACACACACAACTGTTTTTCTGTYGAACCCCTTGTGTCCCCTGTGAGGCCGCAGTGCGCTGTAACTCAGCAGTCCAGGCTTCCTCCCAATCGAATATAAATGCTAATCACTGTTCACACTCCATAAACATGGAGAGAAAAGGGCAATTCACTTCATATCTCTTTCTCATGAATTTAGATGGAGGTGAGAGGAGGAAAAAAAAGATAATTCTTCTCAATWGGGAAAACTTTTTAGTCGACAGCTTGAGGGCATGTGGCCTCTCTTTCWATCAACTTTTTTTTTCATTTTCTATTGTTCTGAAATTTTTTCCACAGATGCAAAAAACATACGCAGAAACTCATTTAGAACAATCAAAAATCAAAGGGGATAAATCAGATGTGTTGATTTTAGCCTAAAAGAGGAGATGACAGCAGACTGTCACAGTAAACCAGATTTTTTTTCTTTTCTTTCCTTTTCAGGGTTGACCAGGGGTCACGAGGATCAGAGGTCGACTTGATGTTAGACTTACTGCTGCTGCCCTAAAGTAACACACATACTACATGATATATATTGTTGGCTGATTTCCAAACTTTTCGAAGTCAGCATACATATTTAAGTGAGGTGTGGGCAGTTTGAAGAAAATCAGATGCTTTTACAGTGAGGGAAATATGTATGTATAAGTTCTCCTGCAAGAAGTACCGTATTTATTCATATATAATACGATCTCATGTATAATACGACCCCCCCACCACCTTTTTGAGCCTAAAAAGCATGAATAATTTAATCCTCAAACTACCTCCAATTTCATACAGACTTCAAGATTTTTCAGCCTTTGCAGTCTTTAGATCAAACACAAGAAGATGCACACAAAAAACAGAACAAGCATATGTTTTCTATCTGTAAGGCCATAGCTTACGCTGAAGAGTTAAAATAACACAAAGTCAGTAAAATGATCATTGGACTGTTTGTTTTATTTTAACAACATATGTACTAAAAGGTATTTTGACAACAAATATATATCAGCTGTAGCAGCGTCATATGAATTCTGGCATTTTACACATAGTCCACCAGGATGCACCAACACAAAAGTCAGAGACTTCACATGAGATTTGGGCCATCTTCTGGGGGGAAAAACCGATTACTTCCTACTCGCGAGCGCCCCCTCTGGTGGGGAAACATTTTTTCAAGGATTCAAACTTTTTCAGAACACCGGTAGACGGCCGCCATTACAGACGAGCATGTGTTTGTTGTTGTTCCAGCAGCAGCCGGTCACGGCTAATGTCATTAGTTTGCTATCATTACTAWGGTGCAGGAATACTTTTTATCCCTTTTTTTTCACATCACGTCGCCTGCCTGGATCTGTTACCATCTCTCTCTGAGGCACAAAGGAGTGTCACAAGTAAGCTCGCTTCAACTGCTTTTTACGACGCGGTCTCATTTCCGGACTCAGGCATTTTGTGAATGAAGCCGATATTTCAGTTAAAATACATAAGTAAAAATATTTATCCGAGTACAGTACTACCCCCCAACTTCGTGGATGATTTTATGGATTTAATTTTAAGTATTAAACTTGAATAAATACGATAGTTTCCTTCTTACTAGCTAGTGACAAGCTGGTGGCAAGAATGAACTTCATATGGCATGTGAAAGGTGGTGCAGAAAAGGAGGAGGGGGCAGTGAGAGGTGTAGGACAGAAGGGTGGGCAAATAGTGAGCCTTGAAAATAGTTTGGCTTTGCAGGGGAGGAAGGAATTATGTTCAGCTCGTGTTACATTTCAAACATGTTATGGTCCACACGGCTTCCTCTAACCAGTGTTTTTAAAACCTAAAGCATTACCAGCATACACTGTGTACACACAGACGTTTCATAGCTACTTTATAACCTGAAGTCACAAGTGCTTTGTAATTATACCGCTGAGGGAGTCAATGACTTCACCTGAATGTGTTAACTGTGCCGAGAGCATTTAGGAGCAGTGCCGGCGCGCACCTTCCATGTTGATGAGAGGGAATAGAAGGAGAATCAGTGAATGTGTGTGTATCTAAGGGACAATAAGTGCAAGTACAACAAGCGGGATACGGCGAAAAGAGAAGTCCATTACATCGCTTGCCGCAGTCACTTGCTAGCTTAATGTACTTCTGAGTGGGACTCTTAACGAAAGCGTCACCACTTCACTGGGCTTTTGCTAATCTGAGCAGCAAGTCAGTGTGCTGTAAACTGCAAGATTCCATACGAATCAGGTATGCATGATGAGATGAACATGCCCTACACATACAGTACAAAGAAAATGTCACACAAACACAAACACAGGAACTTACAGGACTCTGAGGTACTTCAGACCAGTGAAGTCAGTCTTGGTGATGCGTGTGAGGTTATTCCCATTCAGCTCCCTGCAAAAAGAGACACAGAGACAATTAATAATTTATCGTTTTTCTCCCACCAGACTTGTTTAGCCTCGTGACTAAAGAAACAAACAATAGCGTGAAGGAATCTGTTGACTTTTGAAACATGAAGCCCATTCTTCTTACATATAACCACACACTTCTAGTACACAGGTAACAAAGACACAGTGAGTTCAGCTTTTTTTTTGGAAAATACTACTGTTCTAGGGAGAATGTCAACACATGTCTTTGATTTTATGAAATGCAAATTTATGTGATATTAAATGCAGTATACACTGCTGGACAGAAACAGGAAGGTCACGGTAAATGGGACGTTCAGGCTCAGTTCTAACTCCTCTGTGAAATATTAAAAAGTCCTGTTAAAAATGGGGGCCACATTTAAGCTGCCTGTTTGCTTTTCTGTCCCAGTCCTCCTGCCACCAACATCCCCCTGCCCCTTTCTATCTGCCATGTCCTTCTACAATTGCTGGGGATTAGCGGGAGCCAGAGGAGGGGATTTAGGGAGGGCTGCAAGGCCAGAAAGTTAAGTGCAGTGGATGTAATGGGAGCAGACTCCCCGCTGAGAATTGGCCATCACTGAGAGAGAAAGGGAGACACAAAATAAAAGAAAAACAGATGTTTTTTTAATTGAGATTTGTTTTCAATAGCGAATAACAATTAGTACTTTAAAAGCACTGCATGTTTAACTCTTAGGGCAACAGCTTAATGTGGGATACGTGTAACAGGGACGTGTTTTGGTTTTGTTGCAGAAGAGCCTTAGTAGCAAATTGTATCTTTCTTACAGAATAAAAACAAAGCTACAGCACAACGAAAATCATATATATATTTTTTTCATTTTGATGCAGTTTGTAAGTATTATGTATCCACCCTTCTCTGAACTCCCAAACCATTTAACTCAAAAGCAAAAAAACTGGCTTGAAATGTACACTGAAGCACAGGTCTCTTTCCCTCAGTCCCTTTCTCGTCTAATGACCACTCAAGGGACTTTAGCACTATGCGCTACGAAAGAAAATGGTCATTACTGACAGATGATGTATGCATGTGCATACACGTGTGTGTGAGTGTGTGCGTGTATACACAGGTGCATCGACAGGCAGAGCAACACAGCCACGGGAAAATAAATAATAGACTGGGCTTCATTAGCCTGGGCTTCGGTACGTACATGTGGAGCTCATTACAGGTGCTTACGCAAATACACACACACACACACACACACACACACACACACATTTCTGGATTTCACTGTCTTATCTTCAGGGTGGTCATTCCTGATGTTACCCAGAGGACATTACAAAGGAGAAAGATAGAAGATGAGGAAGAGGAGAGAGGAGGAGGTAGTGTTTATGTGCAAAACTGACTCACAAGTAAACAACTGAAACATTGTTCTTCCTTTAGCAACCAGGCCTGTAGTTTTACAAGTGATCCAGAACTGACACACTGAAGCGGTTTTGCAATAAGAGCCGATCATTTTGTGTTTGTTTAAGTTGGGTGACTCGAGTTTTGTTCTGGGAAAGTGTGACTTTGACATTTGGATGAAACGGAACAGCCTTCATTAGGACAAATATGGATTTCTGTTTTCTGGCACTTTGCAGTAAAGTCTTTGTAGTCGCAAAGAAGACAAGATTGAAGATAAACATGACCTGTACAGAAGATYTGTTATTCTGGTTGATATAAAGTAAATAAAATTTTAATTTGGACTGAAATTTTCTTCTTTGATGTAAATGAACAGGAAATCAAACACACAAACAAAACCTGAATTAACTTTGTGCCAAAGTCTTGATTTAAAAAACTTAAATGATCATCATTAGCTCTGAAAGCTTAAAACATTAGATTTTACCCATGCAGCTCTTTGTGTTTATTTCATTTAAATAGGGTTAAAGTAGGCCAAAGTTATATACAATTTATCAAAGGACAAATGTGCTATTTATTAGCTTCAGCATCAGCCACTGCAGTATTTTTCCCCTAATCAAAGGGAACTAAGCAATGACTTTTGGCATAAAAGTAAAGGAATGCCAAACCATTTCATAGACAGATGTTTTGTGATGCTGACTCGGGACAGGTTTTTGCATTAAAGTATACTGGTTTTACTTTAAAATCTGAAAATTATTAGGTATCATCCTGAGTTCCTACAGCAAAGGATTTCCACCTCCAGCGACTTCAGTCAAATCCATTCCATCCTCTGGAAAAAAAAATCCCTTTCCTGACACACTTCCTGGGGAGATACTGGATTTATGACATCACTATCTAATCCCTCTTCATCTGCCATCCCAAGTTGATTGATGTTTGAGAATTTTTCCTGGTGCAACTTCCCCTCGGGTGGACACATGGCAGCTTTGCTACGCCACTCCTGATCTCTATAATTCAAAGGGGCTTGGAGCACTGCTACAACACTGAAAAACTCATTAGGTTTATTTCTGCCAGCTGCTGGAATCCCTGCGCAGAGCTCGCTTTGGACCTGTTTTGAATCTAGCAAAGCTACATGAAATGAAAGACTTAGACTAGAGGGAGCAAAAGCAAACACAGTAGTTCACTCAGGGCAAAACACAGATTACACTCAAGCAGATACAAACATTGACATGTAATCCTACTTTCTAAAAAGATGCTACTTAAAAAAAGACAAAACACTGGGCAAGGAAAATCAGGCTGAATGTGTATCTACAGCTTAAATCACTCAACAGTGTTGCAAACCAGCCTGTTGTACTTAAATCAACTAAACCCCAGCTTTAGGTTTATTCAGGGTCTTCTTTTCTCATTCATGTAAAGGGAACTACTTTTTTTATTGCATGCAATTTGTAATCTGAAGATGTAAGAAAGTATTTGATTTAAATTAAACAAACAACATAACATTTTAGATGTCCTGATRCATCTCAGTAATACAGGTATAAAAAATCAAAAAGAAAAAATAAGTACGTCCTCTGGATGGATTCTTCTTTAATGAAACATTTCGTCTCTCCTCCAAGAGATTTCTTCAGTCTGATGAGTTTCAGGTGAACTCAGCCTTATAAGCACTGCCTCCACATGGACAAACAGGTTAGTCACATGCAAAAGAGGGCCATCGTCTAACAATAGGCTTGATTAGCTCTATTTAGTCACACAGTCACAGTTAGGCCTTCGTGTCCAGTTGTCCTCCTCCTGCAACGCTGTTATTGCAAGTATGACTCAGCTCACTGTGAGCAAAAGGTGTGAATCAGGGCCCCAACGATAACCAACACAAAGAGGGAAAAAAAAGACAAAAACAAGGGGACATTGAACCCCGCTTGCACTCACTACAGACACATAACAAAACACCTAAGAACCACAGCATCCAAACCAATAAGTCAGGTGATGGGGCACATGACCCTCTATGAACAATAGAGCTAATCAAGCCTATTGTTAGGCGATGGCCCTCTTTTGCATATGACTAACCTGTTTGTCCACCATGTGGAGGCAGTGCTTATAAGGCTGAGTTCACCTGAAACTCATCAGACTGAAGAARTCTCTTGGATGAGAGACGACAAGTTTCACTAAAGAAGAACCCATCCAGAGGACCTACTTGTTTTTTTTCTTTTTGATAACATTCTAGAGGTGGCTTTGAAAATCCCTTAATTTTCTGTCTCCTGCACAAAACAGTTCTCTCAGACTAAACTCGACCAATGTATGTTTAAGCATGAATCTTGCCCCATTTTTGTATGAAATCAGCACCTGCATGAGCCGATGATATGTAAGAGTTTGCAAAGCGGTCATTCTGTATCGAGGCTGTGAGAACCACAAGACCATTTGTCCTGAACAGCTTTCGCCCAGCAGGAGCCAGCGAAACCAGCTGATTGAGGATCAGCGGCACGGTGCTGTCCAAACTCCTCTCTGTGAAAAACAATCTGACGATCAGGACCCCGAGGCTGTACAGCCTAAAACATGAATGCTCATTAACCACAGTTACAGACTTAAGATGCTGTTCGAGCAGACGAGTGAGCACGCTCCCTGATGAATGAACAGGTTGAGGAGCCACAAACAGGCAAAACAATTCCCGCAGATTGGACAGCATATGGAGGTGACAGCCATGAAACACGCAGGCGGTGAGAAAAAGAGGGAGACGATAGAGTCACTGAGAGACAGAGCGAAGACGCGGAGCATCCCTGACAGTGTTCGCCGTCTGAACGTGATGGTGTGAAGCAGTGTGGTGGAGTGTTGCGAGTAACCAGGGAGCTGCGAGGAGCTGACGGATCATCTGGGAAATGTCAGTGGAGAGAGATAAAGCCTCTATACGGCCAGTGCTGGTGGAGAACRAGGAGAAAAAGGCAGGGAATTAGTCAGCCTAATTTAAGCCATTCCATTTTTTATTAAAAAGAGAAAAAAGACGAAGTAAGAAAAAGAAAATGCCACAGCGACCAAAATAACACACTTCTAAAGCCCTGCTGGAACACTTCTATCCACACTAAGAGGTCAGATTTCTGCTTAACTCGAAGAAAAAAAATCAATCTCCATTAAGATGTGGCTTTTAAACATGCTTTTAAAGCCTTCAACTGTACATTTTAATAGTGTGTGCTTAAGAAATCATCCAATACTCTTTTGTGTGTGCGCAGTGTGCGCAGTGTGCACAGTATGCGACGGCTGTCTGAGAACCTATACTCAGCTCCTGGGCTCCTCGTGGGCTATTTACAGTTTTCATTCTGCTCAGTCAGGCCTCAGGAGCAAGATTTCTCATAGGAAAGTTAAACATAAAGTAGATCTCACACAGGCATTGCCCACAGAAACATTAACACTGCTCCTTTTCAGAGCATTGACCAGTGTGGGGTCTGCTCCGTCCCATGAAGCCCATCTTCTTAAATAAACAGCTACAGGTAAAAGAAAATAGGCCTAAATATGATCTAACTTTTCATGATGTTACAGTTGGCAACAAGAACCCAGAAAGACAGCAATATGGAGAAATAATTTAGAACAAATAAGAGAGTAAACCCTGCCAAACTGATCGAACATAGACTACATATACCACTCCTTTAGGTTAAAGGGAA